CCCCTGCGGGCTCCTGACACACCCGGGAATCCCGCCTAGTCCTAGTCCTTTCTTTTACTTCTTTTTTTGCCGGTCCTGGAGCTTGATTGGACTCAGGGTCTGGGCGCTGTCCCTGAGCTTCTTTTGCTCAAGGTCTCTACCACTTGAGCCACAGCGCCACCTCCTGCTTTTTCTGGGTAGTTAATTGGAGATAAGAGTCTCAAGGACTTTCCTGCCCAGGCTGGCTTTGAACTGCAATCCTAGACCTCAGCTTCCTGAGTAGCTAGGATTACTGCCTGAGTCAGTGGCACCTGTGGCGCTTCAAGGCAGCACGAGGCTGGGAGAAGAAGGGTGGGTGTGGAGAGGTCACAGACACGAGGGAGCCACAGCGCCCACCGGCCCCTTGGCTGGGCGTCCCGAGCTCTGCAGCCACGAGAGGCCTCTGCCTGGCCTCTGAGTTGCACACCGCCACAAAGTGAGCCAAGGTGTGTGCTGGGGAGGGAGCCCAGGCGGGACGGGCCTCTGGGCAGAGCACAGAGAAGCCCCTCCGTGGCCAGCGTGGGTAGCTGTGCTGGGGGGCAGATAAAACGGCTCTGCCCTGGGAAGACGGCCCGTCCTTGGCAGGTGTCCCAATGCCCTGGGGTCCTCGGGTGGCTCACACTGTTGTGGTGCCTTCCCTGTGCGCTTGGCTTCCGTGTTTGTGGAGAGCGGTGGGGGACAGGACCCTTTCCTGGGAAATCATAACATGGCAAACAACACTCAGGGCAGAAGTAAGGTTTCTAGAAGCATCTTCCTGACAGTGATTTCCCAGCCTGGGCTTGGCAATTTGAGAAGGGTAAGATATAGCCATAGACTTTAGTGGATTTGTTTTTCTCCAGAGATTAGGTGACAAAGTGACCTGTTGTTAGCACACGTCCGATTGGTCCCCAGGAAGAGGACGCAGTGCATGGAGGAGGAAGCATTTCCCAGAGGCGGGTCCAGGTGTGTTAGGAGCGTCCTTGCCTGACCCCTGCATTACAAGTGGGCAGGGATGCCAACGGCCACATCGTTTCCTGTGCACGCACCCATGACCCTGGAAGGAAAGGGAAAATGCAAACCACCTGGCTTCCCAAGGATGGGGTGTGCCTGGTCGTGGGTGGGGAGCTGCGGGGTGTCCGTGTGGATGTTGAACATTCAGCAGCCATAGGAATGCATGCTTCCTTTCTTTCTTTTTCTTTTTTTCTTTCTTTTTCTCTTTCTTTCTTTCTTTCTTTCTTTCTTTCTTTCTTTCTTTCTTTCTTTCTTTCTTTCATTCTTGTCAGTCGTGGGGCTTGAACTCTGGACCTGGGCGCTGTCCCTGAGCTCTTCAGCTAAAGGTGAGCGCTCTACCACTTGAGCCACAGCACCACTTCCGGGTTTCTGGTGGTAACTGGAGATAGGAGTCTCATGGACTTTCCTGCCCAGGCTGGCTTTGAACCGTGATCCTCAGATCTCAGCCTCTTGAGTAGCTAGGATGACAGGTGTGAGCCACTGGTGCCCAGCTGGGAATGCATTTTCTATTCAGAAACATGAAACTCAAGACTCTTCTGCAAAGCACGCGGGACACGGGGGCTGGCCTGTGAGCTCACCACGTGTGCTGTGAGCCCCTCACACCGCAGGGACACGGGGGCTGGCCTGTGAGCTCACCACGTGTGCTGTGAGCCCCTCACACCGCAGGGACACGGGGGCTGGCCTGTGAGCTCACCCGCATGTGCTGTCCTCATACCGCAGAAAGCTCTTGCGTACAGCGATAAGTACATGCGAACACAGCTTCTCATGGCCTGTCAAAGACTTTTTAAGACTGTAGCGAACGCCCACATGCATGTAGCCACGCGTGCAGGTACTACACGCTGGCACACGGGAGCTGTGCTGCTGAGGACCCACCCTGAGCGCGCGGCGAGTTTGATTATATCAGAATAACCGTTACATCTGGCAAAGCCACTGAATGGTCTGGCTGAGCGGCCCCGAGTGTCTCACGGGCCACTGCACACCCGCGGGCCTTGTGCCACCGGGGGGGGCGAGGGGGCAGTGTCCAGCGCGGTCACAGGGGACACACAGGGCTCGGAGGAGGCCCAAGGAGCGGAGGACTGGGTGCTGGCCCCCGGGAGCAGGGGAGGACAGGCAGGCAGCTTCTGCCCTGTGTCCTCCAAGCCCCGCGGCTCTGCTTCCCCACCGGGGAGTTTCCTGGAAGCCTGTCTTGGGAAGGGTTCTTCACCGCGGGGAAGTGAGGAGGAGGGGGCCGGGGAGACGGTGACCTCCGAGACCATGTTTTGGAAGCCAAGGCTGGGACAGGCTCTTCTGCCACGCTCCTGGCATTCGACCAGCCCTCACCGGGTCTCCTCAGGGCCCTCCGGCCACGTGGAGCCCACACACCTACATCAGCCCGATCCTCCGGGTTTGATCTAAGAAACACTGGGCGAGGAGGCTGCGCAGCCCGGCACAGACCTGGTGAAGTGCAGGTGGAAGACAATGCGGTCCCTGGCGGCCGGTGCCGCGGCCCCTCCCCTCCTCACCCCTCTCCTCCCTCTTTCTTTTCAGCCTTTGTATTTCTCCCTGTCCTCGTCTTTCTCACTCTGCCCGTCGGCAGTGGTGGGTGGGTGCGGGCACGGGCACACCCACTCTCGGGCACAGGCCAGGCACCCTTGCGCGTGGGAAGTCAGTACAGCGTGTAATGGCTTGAGAGGTCTACGAGACACAGCCCCCTGGAAAACTGACTCACACAAAATGACACAAAAGGACCTGGTGTGTCCTGGTGGAAAGAAACTTAAAACTCCCACGCCAATCAGTCCTAAAAATACGTTGTTAAAAAACAAATAAAAGGAGGTTCTCGTCAGGCCACGCGTCTGCCTCTCTGGCCGAACCGTTCCATACCCAGCCTGGGAAGCGCAGCCACGCGCGAACACTGCGTGGGCAAGTCTCACTCCTTGGGGGTCGAGCCGGGCGTGGTGGCCGGCGCCATCCTGGCAGTTACGAATATGAACGGGCGGCACCGGCCGCGGGGGCGTCCAAGGATCCGCTGTTGCTGATTGGCTAGGGCCCAGGCGTCTTCACAGGCCGCACTCCGGAGAGGACCCGGCGCCCCGCCTTGCAGACCCTCGGGGAGCCCTGCCAGGCGGGCGGGCGTCCCTGGGCCCCCAGGGCACGTCGGAAGATCAGCGCCAGAGGACCAGCCAGAGCGAGTCTCACCGAGTCCCCGTCGGGGCTGGTGCCGCTGTCTTCTACGGCGTCCGGTGCTGCTGAGCGGATGCACGGTGAAGCCCAGCGGGCAGGAGTGAGGCTCGCCCACCATGAGCAAGCGTCCAAGAAACCCACGCAAGCTGGGGAGAAGAAAACCGGCCTCAGGGATGCGGGGCCACAGGACCCACGGGAGGTACGGGTGAGAACCAGCGTCTCCTACAAACCAGAGGGAAAACCTCATGCAGACACAACTTCTTCCTTCCTTCCTCCTGCCCTCCTCCCCTTTTTTTTTTTTTTGCCAGTAGTGGGACTTGAACTCAGGACCAGGGTGTGGTCTCTGAGCTTTTCCACTCAAGGCTGGCCCTCTACCACTTGAGCCACCCCTTTACTGGTGTGTGTGTGTGGGGGGGTGGTGAAGGCACCACCAGGCTCCTGGGCAGCAGCAAAACATCCCCAGGATGCTTGACCTGGGCGAGCCTTCCTCGCAGTCCAGGCGCCGGGCAGGCCGAGCAGAGCGAGCAGAGCAGCGTCACCCAGGTGCACACACAAGCCACTTCTCCGGGTCCACACACTCCCTCTGGCTTGAGAAGCTGAAGGTGATTTTGTGGAGAGCGTTGGCTGTCTTCTTTGCTGTTGAATGGCTCCAAGGCCCGGCGTGGTCCACGGGGCAGGCCTTGCCAGCCCGCACGCGCGTCCCGTGAGGCCGTGGCTTCCAGCAGCAGGTGGAAGGCTGGCTCTGCTCTGTGTGCAGCCGTCTTTCCAGGGCCTAGAGAGCCACGATGGCTGGGATTTATTCCTGCACCCACCCCATGCTGGCTGCCTGGCGCTCTCCTCCTCCTTTGAGCGGCAGGTCTTCCTGCAGATGTTTGGGAACGGGCTGGTCAGGTGGCACAGGCGTGGGCCTGGTCTCTCAGGGTCCTTGGGAGACGGGTGGAGTCTCTTGTCCAGCAGAGAAGGTATGGTATGTGCCGTTACACACTAGACTTCCATTGCAGCAAAAAGATCTAGCTTTTAATCCACATTCAGTCAACCAGTAAACGCTGGAAGCTGGCATTTTGGATTCCCAGATGAAATATTCAATCCAGCATCAGCCACAGAGGCTGAAGAGATGACTGAACTGGAATACAGATCCTTCTTCTTCTCTTCCTTCTCCTCTTCCTCTTTGTCTTCTCTTTCTCCTTCTTCTCCTCCCCCTCCCTACTTCCTATTTTCTCCCTCCCTTTGTCTTCTCCCTCTTCTTCCCCTTTCCTCTTCTTGGAGTAGTTGGGTTTGAGCTCAGGGACTCAGGTTTGGTAGACAAGTACTCTACCTCTTGAGCCAAACCTCCAGCCCTTCTTTTGCTCCTTTTCCAAACAGAGCCTTCATTCTTGCTCAGGACTGGCCTGGGACCACGCTCCTCTTATTTACACTTTCAGATCAGCAGTAGTAGGTGTGAGCCACTGAATCCAGCATAACTTGGTTGAGATGAAGGAAGATCTCTCAGACTTTTTGCCTGGGCTGGTCTTGGATCTTGTTCATCCTGATCTCAGTTTCCTGACAGCTAATACTGCGGGTCTGAACCACTATGTCCAACTTTGTTTTCTTGACTGGCTCATCTTTAGGTGACTCTGTCCTCCTCCTCTCCTTTCCCTCTCTTCCTCTCTGCCTTGCCCTGGCCCAACTCTACTTCCTCAAAATATTGGGTGCTCAAAGCCGTCCTCAGCACGCATCGTACATTAACTGCTGGCAGCAGTCATCCTACACGCAGGACTACCGGGTAAACATTCCTGACTTGCCACACCATTCTGTAATGAATAACCTCAAGTCAAAGCAAAGTGAACTCCACTGCGGAGGACCTCAGGTCTAGCTCTCCAGTAAAGGACAGCGTGGAGGCTGGAGGCGACCCTCGGCTTCCTTCCTGCATGGCTGCGCTCACACACACACACACACACACACACACACACACACACGCTGCTCACAGGGGCAGCCGCTGTTCACACACACGCTGCTCACAGGGGCAGCCGCTGTTCACACACATACACACACACACGCTGCTCACAGGGGCAGCCGCTGTTCACACACATACACACACGCTGCTCACAGGAGCAGCCGCTGTTCACACACACACGCTGCTCACAGGAGCAGCCGCTGTTCACACACACACACACACGCAGCTCACGGGGGCAGCCGCTGTGCTCACACACACACACAGCTCACGGGGGCAGCCGCTGTGCTCACACACACACACACACATGCTGCTCACGGGGGCAGCCGCTGCGCTCACACACACTGCTCACGGGGGCAGCCGCTGCGCTCACACACACATGCGGCTCACAGGAGCAGCCGCTGCGCTCACACACACACGCGGCTCACGGGGGCAGCCGCTGTGCTCACACACACACACATGCTGCTCACGGGGGCAGCCGCTGCGCTCACACACATGCACACATGCACGTGTGCGATCACGCTGCTCACGGGGCACCCCTTACCTTCACGGCGTACTCAGCATCTGTAGCCTTGTGCACACACCGCTTGCACACAGAGTAGGAGCCCACTCCGATGTCCTCCTTGACCTCGTAGCCATCAGTGAAGTGGACGTTGTTCCCGTGTAGCTGCTGCAGGGAGACGGGCGTGAGGCTGCGCACGCAGCACTGGGCACAGACCGGTAACTCGGGGACTCAGAGATTCAGGCTCAGGAGTGAAAGGGTTCCTGTGCCCCGGGCCGCAGTGCTATTCGGAGAAGGTTCCAGATCAAATCCCTGCTCCCCAATCCGGAGGCCCCCCAATCCTGAGGCTCCCCAATCCTGACTGCTAATATTTGGACTCTAGGAGGTCTTCGTGCACTCACAAGCCAGGAGGGTCTAGAGGAAAAAGGCAGGGCACGAGTGGGGGTGGGGTGCAGGTGAGGGTGTCTGGGGGTGCAGGTGTGGGTGTCTGTGGGGTGCAGGTGTGGGTGTGGGGTGCAGGTGTGGGTGTCTGTGGGGTGCAGGTGAGGGTGTCTGTGGGGTGCAGGTGAGGGTGTCTGTGGGGTGCAGGTGTGGGTGTGGGGTGCAGGTGTGGGTGTCTGGGGGTGCAGGTGAGGGTGTCTGTGGGGTGCAGGTGTGGGTGTCTGGGGGTGCAGGTGAGGGTGTCTGTGGGGTGCAGGTGTGGGTGTCTGGGGGTGCAGGTGAGGGTGTCTGGGGGTGCAGGTGAGGGTGTCTGTGGGGTGCAGGTGTGGGTGTCTGTGGGGTGCAGGTGTGGGTGTCTGTGGGGTGCAGGTGTGGGTGTGGGGTGCAGGTATGGGTGTCTGTGGGGTGCAGGTGTGGGTAGGGGTGGGTGCAGGTGTGGGTGTCTGTGGGGTGCAGGAGTGGGTGTCGGTGGAGTGCAGGTGTGGGTGTGGGTGGGGTGCAGGAGTGGGTGTGGGTGGGGTGCAGGAGTGGGTGTCTGTGCCGTGCAGGTGTGGGTGTGGGTGGGGTGCAGGTGTGGGTGTCTGTGGGGTGCCGGTGTGGGTGTCTGTGGGGTGCAGGTGTGGGTGTCTGTGGGGTGCAGGTGTGGCTGTGGGGTGCAGGTGTGGCTGTGGGGTGCAGGTGTGAGTGTCTGTGGGGTGCAGGTGTGTCTGGGGTGCAGGTGTGGGTGTGTCTGGGGTGCAGGTGTGGGTGTCTATGTGGTGCAGGTGGGGGTGGGAGTGGGGTGCAGGTGTGGCTGTCCATTGGGTGCAGGTGTGGGTATCTGTGGGGTGCAAGTGTGGGTGTCTGTGTTTTGCAGGTGAGGGAGTCCCTGGGCTGCAGTTGTCCGTGGGGTGCAGTATGGTTGTCGGTGGGGTGCCGGTGTGGGTGTCTGTGGGGTACAGGTGTGGGTGTCTGTGGGGTGCAGGTTTGGATGTCTGTGGGGTGCAGGTGTGGGTATCTCTGGGGTGCAGGTGTGGGTGTCTGTGGGGTACCGGTGTGGTTGTCCATGGGGTGCAGGTGTGGGTGTCTGTGGGGTGCAGGTGTGGCTGGGTGTGGGGTGCAGGTGTGGGTGTCCGTGGTGTGCAGGTTTGGGTGTCTGTGGGGTGCAGGTGTGGCTGGGGGTGGGGTGCAGGTGTGGGTGGGGGTGGTATGCAGGTGTGGGTGTCCGTGGGGTGCAGGTGTGGGTGGGTGTGTGGTGCAGGTATGGGTGTCTGTGGGGTGGAGGTGTGGGTGTGGGTAGGGTGCAGGTGTGGGTGGGTGTGGGGTGCAGGTGTGGGTTTCTGGGGTGCAGGTGTGGGGTGTCTGCGGGGTGCAGGTGTGGGTGTCTGTGGGGTGGAGGTGTGGGTGTCTGTGGGGTGCAGGTGTGGGTGTCTGTGGGGTGCAGGTGTGGGTATGGGTGGGATGCAGGTGTGGGTGTCTGTGGGGTATAGGTGTCTGTGGGGTGTAGGTGTGGGTGTGGGTGGGGTGCAGGTGTGGGTGTCTGTGGGGTGCAGGTGTGGGTGTCTGTGGGGT